TAATAGCAATCCAAACCTGGATAAATCCAAATGTTTATCCAAGGATGAATCGATAAACTGTGAATGGATATACAGTAAATGGAATACTACTCAGCAATAAAATGAACATGACACATTCTACAACATGGATGAACTTCAAAAACATTCTGCCAAGTGAGAGAAGCCAGAAGCAAAATGCTACATGCTGTATAACTCCATGAATATGAAATGTCCAGAAAAAGCAAACCCATCAAGATGGAAGCAGAACATATTTCCAGGGCGGACAAGCATGAGCAGTCTCTGTGAGGCGACAGAAATGTTTACACTATGACCGGGATGAAAGCTGTGTACTCCACAAGCTTACTAAAAAATCACTGAATTGTATACTTAGAATGGGTAAGTTTTCTGGAAGTAAATTACAGCACAAACTATTTAAAAAGTGGTCATTCAGTGTTCTTTAAGGTAACCAATGAAGACTAAGTGAGCCCTGAGATCTCCACCTGAAGAAAAGGGAAATGCCTGTCCTGGGGTACAGGACTAATTCCTTTTTGCAAAATGCTGGGCATCTCCTCAGGGAGAAGTGCAAGGGTGCAGCACATGGGAGACTGGAAACAGGGTAACAGCCAGGTGTGGCACAGCCCATTGCCCTGCCTTCAGGTTGTTTATGTGCTGACTGGAATGCAGCCTGTAAAGGTCTTTTAGACTAACCAGTGCCACAGCTGAGGTGCACCTTAGCATTAAGGGAAAAGCTGTCAAGCAAATTAAGAATGGACACCTGAGAGGAAGATGCGTCTTAACTCTAAAACCATCTTTCAATTTTATACATCAGTTTCTTCAATCTTTCCCTTGGCTCCTGTAACCTAATTTGAATTATTTTGTGTATCTTAAAGTACTGGTGAATTTTCTTAACAAAACTGTACAATTTCACATTCTTATTCGTTTAGACTAGCTTTCTCCTGAAGAGGTGGCTTTAGAGCAATTTTCCAGTAAAGAGCTCACAGAGAGCAGACAGAACTTAAAAATGCAATTTGAAAAGTGACAATAGATGATTGTTAAACGCTAGGAAAGCCGCATTAAACAGATACTAAAATATAAAAAGTGCTTTTCGCCCTGGCTAGCGTAGCTCAGTGGATTGAGCAAGGGCTGCAAACCAAAGCATCGCAGGTTCGATTCCGTCAGGGCACATGCCTGGGTTGCAGGCCACGGCCCCCAGCAACCGCACATTGATGTTTCTGTTTCTCTCTCTCTCTCTCTCTCCCCCTTCCCTCTCTAAAAATAAATAAATTAAAAATCTAAAAAAAAAGTGCTTTATAGGTAAGTCATTGGGAATGAGGAGAGAACACTGTGAAATTCACTGTACCATCACTGTCAAGTTCTTGATAGAAAAACAAGCACATCTGACACAGATGGGGTGGCTGAAGCAGAGGGGGGTGGGGTGTCTTTCTTCCCTGAATTCTTTTTCCTGTCTGGACACCCTCTCCCTTGCTGTCTTGCATTGAGACCTGAGCAAGATCACGAAAGCAGGCACCCCAGCTCATCTGAATGTAGCTCCCTAATGGGCACAGCAGTGCATGGCACAGGGCTTTATTACCAGGAGGGGTGTTGCAGCTGCCTTCTGGAGTTCCAGGGGAGCATTCCTTTGGTTCCTTCACTCCTCTGGGTAACTCCCTTCTCTGCACAAGCCCCCAAGGCCTTCCAACACCCAAGAGATGATTTTAATCTCTCTGTCTCTGGACAACTTTTCATTAAACCTTTAACACTTCAGACTGAAAAAATGAACAGGACAAATTGTGGAAAAAAACAATACTAATGATTTAAAATACTAACCTGCCCTGTCTTTTAAAAAATATGCGCTAGAACTGAGCCCAGTGTTGCCCAGCCCCCTCCATGCACAGTCTTCTCCCCACCTGTGCCCGCACAGCCCCCCTGCTCCAGGCCGGGGGCTAGGGGAAGTGGCACTTTGAGGCATCACTGGTGTCAATGCATGCAGCGGAGCCCCGGAGTATGGCGGTGGTGGGGGGGGGGGGGTGTTGCACTGTGGCACCACCTGCCACCTTACCACTCACCAGCAGGGCCACTGCCAGAACTCCTGCAGACCAGCTCCCACCCACTGACAGGCAAAGACCCCCAAGATACACAATTACATGAACAAGCAAGACAGAAAACAGTTTGTACAGGTTACCACTTACGTAAAAATGGAATAACTATGAGAACATACAGGCATATTTACTTATATATGCATTAATAAATTGGGCTGATCCAGAAAAAGCCAGTAACAGCCCTGACTGCTGTGGCTCAGTTGGTTGGGTGTCATCCTGCAAAGCAAAATTTCAGGGGTTAGATTCCTGGTCAGGGCACATGTCTGGGTTGCAGGTTTAATCTTGAGTCGGGGCGTGTAGTAGAAGCAAGCAATCGATGTTTCTCTCTCATCGATGTTTCTCTCCTTCTCTTTCTCCCTCCCTTCCCATCTCTCTAAAAATAAATAAATAACATCTTTAAAAAAGAAAGGTAATATAACAGTTATACTTGGAGGGGAAGCGAAGCTGAGCAGAGGGAGTGCAAGGGGGACTTCCTACGTGTCTTTGAATTACAGGAATGCACTAGCTGTTCAATAACTACACAAATGATGGAAGAACAGTAGAAGTACAGAAAACCAAGACTGTAAACTGTGCTATTGGCCTAAGTGTAAACACCCAACAAAAAGGCTCATGTCCTCTGTCCAGGTGTCCAGTAGCCTAAATCTAAGTCTTTTCTACCTAAATAAAGCATTACTCTTTTAAGAGCCCTCTCACTAAGTGTCAGGCCACAAAATACTTAGTCTCTGCCATATGAGGACTCACTGATGAGGGAGAAAAAAGTGGGTGAGGGGACAGCAGGACTGACCCTGAAAAGGCCACAATGGCTTGCACTGGCCAGATTTCAAAACAGTACTCTGAAGTAAATTCACCATGACACAACCTTCTTAAAAGTTCATCTCAAAAAAAGAAAAAAAGGTTTTAAGTGGTCCCATAAGAAACTCATATAGAACCAACGTCTGTGTAAGATTTGTTTCAAACAGTTATAAAATCACACTGTCCAAGAACAGCTAACACAAATCTCGATGTTGAAGTAAATCCAAAGTGAGCACATTTCAAGTGTTTTCCTGTTGAGAGAACAAAGAGGTTTTTCCCGATTTAGTGGGAAGCTGTCATATACTGTAGTATTTAATCAAACACCCTAAAATTAGTCCAGAAAGTTAGCCATTGCTCCTACAGACTGTTTAAAGAAGCACTGTTTATCAGGAAGTGCACGAGGTATTTCTGGTTTCGTACAACTTGATTAAACTAACTACACTTAAATGAGATGCTCAGTAGCTGTGGAAATCTCCCTTCTGTGGGGTGAACAGGGACAGGCACACTACTGGGTGGACCACATGAATGATATTTATCTGAATCACCCACATTAGATCTAAGTCTGGTTGTTCTGGAACAACTTAACTCAGTTACCGTATTTTCTGGACTATAAGACGCACCCCCCCTCCCCAATTTGGGAGGACAAAGGGGTGTATGTCTTATAGTGTGAATGTAGCTTACCTGGCTCACTGTGGTTGGGAGGGGAGCATAGTCTATGTTATTTATGTTATTAAATATTTTACATTTTTTGTTTCAAAATTTTTTTCCTATTTTCCTCCTCTAAAACCTAGGTGTGTCTTATGGTCCTGTGTGTCTTCCAGTCCAAAAAATTCAGTGCTTTTGTTCAATTGCACCAATTTTAAAAGCTCAGTCTCCCTCAAGATGAATTGAGATTTTACAATTAGAATGAGTGGTAACAAATAAATGCCACAGTGAACCAAAAAAATAAATAAATAAAAAACCAACTCCAAATTGGAACCTTCAGCACCCCACCCCCGCCAACAGACCCTCCCAACATGCTTTTGCAGAATCCCTGCTGCTGGCTCTGCATGGATTGTGGTCTGAGCATAGGTTCCTGTCTGGGACCGTGTGGCCGCGACTGCAGCAGGGCTGGCCTGAACATGCAGGGAAGAGCACCTCCACGCAACAGTTAAACCATCAGGGGGACCACGTTAGAGATAAATTCCTCCCTCAGGTCAATGGAAATAAGTAGCTGCATCCAACCCTGACCTTTCCTACATAGCTGACCCACACTAGCCAGTATGCACTGAGGCTCCCAGTCCTACCCCATCACATCCCTCTGCTCTGGAGAGCAGGGCGGAGTCAGTCCTGGTTTGCAGATATGCTCATCGACACTTCATTTCATTACTTGTGTGTTGTAGGGGTGGGTGGGGACTCTCCTGAGCAGCATTGTGCTAAATAAAGCAGCGGGCAAGGGGTGTACAGGATAGACTTGAAGTTCAGGATGGCCCCAGATGCTAGACAGTTGTAAGCAATCAATTCTGTGCTCAGTGGCTCTCAATGGGTCCTCTGACCATAGCATCTGCACCCTCTGGGAGGGCATCTGTTAGAAATGCACTTCCTTGGCCCCACCCAGTCAGCCTGGGAGCAGGGAAGAGGTGCTGCTGCTGGCTAAAAAACCATGGCTTACGAGTGGGAGGCAAATCTCCACCAGAGCCCCTCCTGGACCTTGGGTTGTGGGCCCACTACAGTACTCACAGAAAACCTCCAGGCTGTGTTGGGGCAGGTTCTGGCCCTGGGGCAGCAGGGGTTGTTGCGGGCTGGCGGGAACTCTCCTAGGCCTTACCCGCATTATGGTTGCTCCAGTGCCTCTCCCCTGACGGCACCCCCTACCACAAGTGACCCTGCCCAGGTGTACTCTGGCTCAGCTGGCCACACTCAGAGGGTGCAGACATCTCTGAGCAGGTAGTGAAGGAGGTCCGTTCTCCCTCATGGCCTCACCCCACCACACTGCTGCAGCACCCTGGTCAGCACCAGGCCACCAGTCTAAATAGGGATCCTGGTACCTCAGGAGGAAAGAGGTTTACAACCAAAGACCTACTTCATGTCATCAGCAATGAATTCACCCCAGAGTCCTTAACAGAGAAAGCAACGGAGCTTGTTTCCATCATTTATTTAACAACGTACATCCACATTCACATGAATTCTCAGGTTCTGGTCCAGCCTAGGCTGCAAAGGGTTCAGCCCACATCACTACCATCCAGCACCTCCCCATCCCACACTGCCTGACCCCTGACACCCTCACAACCTGCAGGGAACCGAGCTAATGTGGTTGCACTTTACTGGAGACACCAGGTGTGGGAGTCACACACGGGCACTGTCTGTGTGTCCCGTGCAGGGTGCCCACGGGCCTCTTCTCACAGGAGCTCTGAAATGAACGGACCTCTCTTACATCGGTACAAACACAAGCAACCAAAATACAATCAGGCAGCATCCCAGATGGGTAAAGTAAACAGTTAAATTACTAAGGCATTATTTTAAACTCAAAATACTTCAATGAAAATGGCATACGAAAATTATATAAATTACATTTAAGGTCTGTACATGATTCCAAGAAAACAAACAATACAGTGCTGTGTACACCACTGCTTCCTTTGTAACATTCCAAACCCAAGAAATACTTTCCCTTAAATGCCAGAAAAGTGGGCAAAATACACATGCAGGATAATTCAAATCACTTCACAAAAATACAAAATCGTGTTGGTTTGTTTTAAGGCACATTTTGTCTTAAAATGGGACTCCCATTTCAGAAGCCCCTTTCCCACCAGTCCCTGGCAGGGGCAGCCAAAGGAAAGGCAGCTCCTCCATCTATAGCCAACAGCAAGTTGCTAAGAGTCACCAATCTCAAGTCCCACCTTGCTGCCTTGAGCAGGCCTGCTGTCCCAAAGTTGTGCGATATTAGATCCACACGCAAGACAGTGGTGGTAAGACACCAGCCATTTTCCTTCAAGGCACAGGCAATGCTCACTCCCATCCTCCTCCAGGGAAAAGCAGGCCACAAATGGTGACAGGGGGTCACCATTTTTGAGGTGCCATTGGCTTTAAGACCAAACAATGGCCAAACAGCAGCTCTGTGCAAAAAGGATGCTGGAGGTGAGATTTTGCATGATGAAAGAGCAGCAAGCCAGACCTCGAGTGCCTGGGGCTCACCTGTCAAGGTGGTTGAAATCTCCCACCAGCGCCTCTCAGCACTGCACCCCTCAGGCTTCCAGCTGGACCTCAGCTTCGTCCATCTGCACAGTGTCATTGTCCCCCAGCAGCTCAGTCTCCGGGACAGAGCCGTCCTCCTCCTGCTCTGCTTCTTGCATGGGGCTCTGGGCCGCATCTTCAGGGACGTTCTGCACATCCTCAGTGCCCTCAGAGAGCAGGGCTGCCCTATCAGTCACTGACGTGTTAGAAGGTGCAGTGGTGACATACCCTGTGCTGGTGGAGCCACTGCCGCTGTGGTGAGAGCCAGGCTTGGGGACCATCTGGGCAGGCACCTGCTGTGGGGCCATCTGCATGGGGATCTGGACGGGGTAAAAGTTGGGCAAGTAGGCCCCATAGGCCGGCACAGGCTGGTAGCCATTGACAGGGATGTAGAGCTGTGGAGGAGGCACCAGAGGTCGGATCTGGCCCTTCATGGGGATGAACTGTGGCTGCGGGAAGGGTTGAGCCTTGGGCTTGGGGCCCCCATAGCGGGCGTTGCTGACGTTGCTGACCGGGCTGGTGCTCAGGGAGCTGGTCTGTGTGGCATTGCTGGCACCCGAGGTCTGCGCTGAACTGTTGTAGTTAGACAGGTTGCCCCAGGCCCGAAGCCTGCTGTGGATGTCCTTGAAGCGGGGCCGCCGGCTGGGGAACTCATTCCAGCACTCGATCATCAGGGCGTACACCCAGGCCGGGCAGTCATCGGGGCAAGGCAGCACTTGCCGGCTGCGGACCATCTCCACCACATCCTGGTTGGAGTGCCCGCAGTACGGCTGCAGGCCGTAGCTGAACACCTCCCAGAGGACCACGCCATAGGACCAGATGTCCGAGTCCACAGAGAACTTGCCATACATGATCGCCTCGGGGGACATCCAGCGGATGGGCAGCAGCGCATTCCCCATCAGCTTGTAGTAGTCGGCTGAGTACACCTCGCGGAAGAGCCCCAAGTCAGAGATCTTCACACTCAGCTTGTCGTACACCAGCACGTTGCGGGTGGCCAGGTCCTTGTGTACCACATGGTGGCTGGACAGGTACTCCATGCCCGATGCGATCTGAGCCACCACATGCACAAAGTCGGGGGGCTCCAGGGCTGACTTCACTGTGCGGTCATCATCCGTGCTGCCCATATCGGAGTGTGGCGAGCGCATGACCAGGAACTCATGGAGGTCACCATGAGAGCAGTAGCTGAAGATCATGCTAAGGGGCTGGTCCTTGGTCACCATGCCCAGCAGGCAGACAATGTTGGGGTGCTGCAACCGTGCCCGCAGCATGGCCTCATGCCGGAACTCCTCCCGCAGTGGCCCCTCTGCTTTGTCCTTCAGAGTTTTGATAGCCACGGCCTGGGCCGGCTCCCCTGATGCAGGGCCGAACAGGTGGCCTTTGTAGACCTTCCCAAAGCGGTCCTCCCCAAGCTCCTCCATGAACCTCACCATGGACAAGCTGATCTCCTTCAGTTTGGCCTGCCAAGAAGAAAGCCTAGTGAAACATTTCTGCCACTGCAACTCAAGAAGGAAGAATAGAGAAGTTCTAAGGGGCTCTGGAAGTGCCAGTTCTAGTGCTATTTGGCAGGACAGCCTTGCAGAGGAACTGCTGATCCAGCCTTCCCCTGGTTCAGCCCTCTCCACACACTACTTTCTGCTCTTAAACGCACCCTGATGTCATGAGGCTGTCTGAAACCTTCAACGGGTCCCCACTAGGTTGCCAATTATGTCCCAAGTGCAGCTGAGATATCATAATCAACTGTATGTGCACACCTATTCATACACATACCCAGCTAAGCTGAGCTCCAGTGGCCCCAATCGCCCCTGCACTGTCCCAGCTGTGTCCTTCCCACCCAGGAACTTTCCTGCTCCCCAATACATATGTGTTCACGGAACAGGTCCGTGAAGAGGTCACGGAAGAGGTTCACGGAAGAGCCACCACTGCTCAGCACAGCAAGATCCATGTCTATTTTCTCTCGAACCCAAGGTGCAGGTCCCATGATTTCTGTCATTTTAGAGCCCAGGCCAGCTGTTCTCACATTGCTCCTTAGTTGGCCTATCTTGCATCTTCCTCTTGATTAGATTCTCAATTAGATGCTTTTTGATGGAAGCACCATGTGAATAAAAATCAATGCGAACCTTACACCTCTCAGCTTCTACGGTTCTCACCCCTTCTCTGGGTCTGGCTGCCATCCTCCTGGGAGCTTCCCTGACCCCAGAGGGCTCTGTGTCCCCCTTGCTGTCCAGCTACCCCACCCCTGCCCCCAAACACTGCTGGAGACAGAGTTTGAGAGTCTACTCTTCCCCTTCCAAGCCTGCAAGAGGTTGATCCCCCCCGCCCCTGCAAAGCTTGGAAGTAAGGTGACTGTCCCATCACATGGCTGAGCGGCTGTGGTAGACCTTCCTGTGTGGCACTTCAGTGGGCTATCACCTTCCCCACCACTCCTACTGTGGGGGCGGCCTGCCCACTTCCTCTAGAAGACTGTGTGCTCTATCCTTCCCTGAAAAACAAAACAGCAACCCCAGCCACACCCCACACTGTGCAGCAACAGGCCCCTGTCCCTTCACAATGTCATATTGACCCTCCGGTAGGGGAGACAGCCTGAGCCCGGTTCTGGTGCCCCCACAGGCACAGCTTAAACATCACAGAAGGAAGACTGAGAAGGAAAAGCTTCCCACTGGCACATTAATCTTCGACATGCATACCACGTATTTTCTAAAGACACAAATGTGCTGACATGTTTCAGAGAAGAAACAATGAAATGAAAGACAGTTTAAGAGTGCTGTGCTTCAGTAGATTAAGAAAGGTAACAGGGCAGGCAGAGGGTAAGCTGGTAGACCTGCTTGTGCTGGCCAATGAGGGGCATCTCCACATCCTGGCTGGGGGACGCCATCAGCTGCCGGCGTGGGGGCGTGGAGGTTGAAGCCTTGTGCTTGTTGCGGCACATGCAGACCAGGAAGAAAAGGCAGGCGACGACCAAGGGTATGGTGATGCTCGGGACCAGGATGTACAGGATCCCCATCCTGCTGCCGTCCCTGGGACCTGCCAACAGCAAGGCTTCCTTGAGTCCTCAGAAAACTTCAGGCTCTCTACTGGTCCACTCCCACCTCCAGCTACACTATTTAAACACACGTGAATGATCAGGTTGGTTGCACAAATGGACACAATTACATATCCAACCTAAAAAAAGGCAACGTACCAAAACAATGCACACCCTGGGTCAGCCTATGTGACCCAGTCCAGAGTGGCCCCATGGGAAAAATAAAATACGGAGCACTGATGGACTCTGAGGCCTCCCAAAGCCCCAAGCAGCAGTGTGTTTCCCTCCTAACACCTGAACACCACTGGAAACACGTGCTCTGCCCAAATGCATCTTTATGAAATGTGACGAAACACGTCTGACCTTTGTCCTCAGTAAAGGAAACTCAGTACAGGGATTGGAAATTACCTAGTTCCCCATTCCGTATTTTAGGATTGTCCATATTTTTTTGTAAATTTACATTACATATTCTTCTAAAGTACTGATTAAAAGCACATTTGATTTGAAAGTGCAGTGGCACTGGCGAGTCTCAGCTAGTACAGAGTGCAACAGGGCACAAGAATTCTGGAAGAGCCTCCATGCAACAGATGGACGAACACTGTGAGGCTTCCAGGCAGACCTTCCATCCCAGTCCTTTGGGACTGAGGGGCAGCCCTTTGTCTCCCATCCAGGACTTGGAGTCAAACAATAGGCCTCAGGTGGCAGTCTGACAACTGGAGCAGAGCTGGGGGCTCCCTCATAAGGAGGCAGAACCGGACCCCCAAATAGGCCACTTTCCCACCCAACTCCTGTGAATAATCACATGGGACATGGGTGCCCCTATGACTAGTGGATAACAAGCTCTCCATATGAAAGCAAACAAGTGACTTCTAATCAGAAGAGATAATTCACCTGAAAATGAACAGTATTGCCTCCTCAGTATAAACACACACACACACACACACACACACACACACACACAAGCACACATCACTGTCCCAAATCCAGCCTGGCATCCCAGCATCCAAACTAAAATACAGTAACACCTCACACAAAACTCTCCTGGCACCACCTGGAGGAAGCCTCAGGAGGCAATGGAGAGTCTGTCAATTTTCATTATCAGGGTCTGGAAGAATCCACACCTCAGGCCAAGATCAGAGGTGTGAGCACTGTCCATATACTTACCTCATATATGACCATTTATTTTATCATTACCTTCTCAAAATCACAAACAGAACACATGCTTATTAACAACTGGAGTATTACAGAACAGTGAATATTTCTAACAGCTCATTTTGCTAAAGACTATTCCATTGTTAATAGGTTGCTATTCACCTGATTTTTTATGTATTAGAGGGGGCCCAAAAAATACTGGAATTATGTTCTGGAGGGCTGGCCCCTTGTAGTACAGGCTTCCCTACTAGGTGAGTGTTCTGGGAACCCATCTGTAGCCGTGTACCAGCTGGTACTGTCATGAGAGGCTGTGTTCAGCTTCAGTAAAAGTTTTTTTAAGACACTTTCAACACATTTACCCATTTCAAGATGGGGGATTTATCAGCATACCTGCCCACACCGCACTAAGTGTTTAGCAGTTTTGACCAAAAATGGCATGACCTCCATGTCCCACCCTCCCTATTCACCCCATCTTGCCCCAAGTGACTTTTTTTTTGTTTCCCTGGATGAACAAAATCCTCAAAGGGAAACGTTTTGCCAATGTGAAATAGGTGAAATAAAAAACAGCAGAAGCACTAAAGGCATCAAAATCATTGAGTTCAAAAACTGTTTTGAGCAGTGGAAAAAAATGTCTTGATAGGTGTATTGCATCAAATGCAAAGTACTTTGAAGGTGACTGAACTTTAAACATGTAAGAATAAATATACAATTTTTATAAATAAATTCCAGGTTTTTGGGGTTTCTCCCTCATATATTTTAAGTTGAACATGAAATAACCAATATTCAACTATTTCGACTCATAGAAGCAGCAGTTTCTTATGGTTTTTTTGAAATAGAAGTTTGACTAGAATTCATTTTAAATAGAATTGTATCAGCCATATCTCCCTGCTCCTGGTTTTGTGGCAGAGTGATCCATCTCAGAGAGCACATGTAGCACAGAGCTCTGAGTGTTCCTCGAGAGTGCCCACAATTCCATCCAACCCCCTACTGGTAAACAATCAGTCTGTTTCTTACTTAGCTATTAAAAGTGATTCTGCAATAAATGTCTTTGCATTTCCGCCCCCTAAGTACAAGTATTTCTGCAATATAAGATTCCTGCAATTGACAGGTCAAACATAAATTTTTTTCTTTGCTTTGATTTAGTTTTAGGTATAAAAGTAATAACTGCTCATTACTCTTATATTTTCATATTTCTGCAGGTCATGGGAAATCACTGCTAAAAGTCTGGTGTGTATTTTCCTCAAACTTCACCAGTGAAATGTAAGTGCTTATGTGCACACAGATACACACACAGCTTTTGCTCATTTTGCTTTTTTGTAAAAAGAAAGAAAAAAGAGATGGGGAGGAAGGGAAGAAGAGAGGGAGGAAGAGAAGGAGAGAGAGAGAGAGAACACACAGATATAACACAGACAATGTCCTACAACTTGCTTCTTTCCTTTAACAGGACATCATGAACATCCCTCCTTACATTCCATAGAGTAGCTATACTATAATCTAACTACTGACATTTCACTCTTAAATCTTACTCCTATGATGAATACAACTGTTGAAGATTGGTGTGTGTGCTGCTTGCTGAGTGAATGGAAGTGCAAGTCTGGGACTCAGAGAAGGAAATGAGCACAGGTTTGCATTCCCATCACTGGCAGTGTGGAGGCACACCAGACCCACCCCACGCCTGCTGCCAGGAAAGGTTTCCAGGTGAATGGTGACCCTTGATGTGCTTCACCTGCCACCTCTCTTTATCAATCTTCTCCCAAGAATCTTCCACCAACTCCCTACCTCAGGTTCCAAAATGGAAGACTCAGAAGGCAGCCCAGTCTCAGGTACCCAGGCTAACTGGAGCGGGTGGGACACACATATTGGAATATAGGATAATAAAGGTTATAAAGCTTGCAATAATGACAAGCTCTTCTCCTATTCATAATTTAACAGACAATTGCAGGGAAAATGGTGAAGAGATTTAAGTTTGGAAGCTGGAGAGAAGACAAAGGCAGGGCGCCCCAACTGCAGACACAGCTGGGGCACCGCTGGTACTGTGACAGAGAAACCAGATGCAAAGTGAATCCAAGGACTACACACAGGACAAGGGCTGACAGGAAGGCCGCCAAATGCAAACAGAGTGAGGAAATTAGAGGTGATTTGCCCATGATTCCTAAGACTTTTCTATAATTTAAAACATCCTGTAATGACCAGATATTACTTTTATAATGAGCAACAGTTTTATTAGAACAAGTAATCATGGTAGTGGAATGGGGGTGGTGCCCAGTACCATCAGCCTCCCAGTTCCACGTGATACTCAATAGTCAATACTTTTTAAAAAATGAGACAGAGAATACTTACTACAAGAGGGTATGTCACACAGTTCCATGGGTACGTTTTTATTCTTTGTGAAGCACCAGGGGCCTTCCATCTGCCCCCCAGGGTTCCGACAGTAGGCATGCCCCCCTCCAAGCTCAGGGAAGTCTGCACTGGTCAGGCGGTGGCTGTGGGGGTGCTGCAGAGCCCACGGCTGGCACTGGTGCCCTGACTTGGTGGTGCTCGCTGTCCCTCTGTAATCTGTGCCTGAGCCATTGTAGCACTGATGGTCTGAGAGAGGAGATATGTTAGGAGGCTCGAATCAAAAGCAAGCAGGCCTTCCTGTGTAACTCTTCCAGAAAGGACAACAAACCAATTTGTCTGCATGTACTCAAACTGGAGTTTCCAAAAGACCAAAGGATTTTCCATAATTTCTAAGAAAAGCAGCATTTAAAAAAATGGCAGTTAAGCCCCAAACTCACTAATTAAACTGGGGGTACATTAGGGACATATACAGGGAAGAAAACTTAGCAGAAGTTATTCTATGACCCTGAAACCACCTTTGGGATCTACCAGGCATCCCCATTCCAGAATGAGGACCTCATAAACATCTGCTCTGGAAGCAAAACTAAACTGGGCAGGAGGGGAGAGAAGCTGCCAGGCCAGGCCCACACCTCAGACACCCCTGCTGCCTCAGTAGGGGTGAGCTGCCAGGCCAGGCCCACACCTCAGCCACGTGAGTCACTCCACCTCCTGAGAGGAGCCCCCCAGTACTCTCTGAGCCAGACCTGGGGTATGCATGTGTTGAATGGTTACAGAGTGCTTACCTGTTTGGCCACTGTTCTAAGAACCTTCTAAATATTATTAACTTATTTAATCTTCATTCCCACTCCCAAGGTTAGCAGTCATCATTCCAATGGAACAAGAGGAAATGATACTTAACGAATGACAAAGTCGCACAAGCAAGCCTTGCATCCAGGACTCAGGGAGCACAGTGGGCAGGGACCAGGCTCCTAGGGCCCAGAGGAGCCCTGCCATACTCAGGAACCCCTTGGCCCAAGGAATGGATGCAGCCTCTGTCCAAGGTGCCCTGGAAGAAGGCTTGGGGACCTGACCTAGTAGTGAGGACAGGGGCTTGTTGATCACTGCGGGGTTTGGAAGCCCACCTGTTCCCCTGATGCCCCTCACTGTGGTTCGTGGCAGGCAGGCATCCAGGCAGACAAATGACTCCAACTTACAGAATGAAGTCTGAGGCTCAGAGAAGTGGAGTGACTTACTTGGGTCCCAAAGACAGGCAGGGGCCAGCTGGGTGTGGCCTGGTGCTGTGACTGATACCCCTGCTCTTAAGCCCTCCTGCCAATCCTACTGGAAGAGAGGCCCTGGGGGTAGGTGGGACTCACAGCTGCCCAGCCGCTCCGCAGGGATGCCAATACGCATGCAGTTGGCAGCATCAGGGCTATCAGGCATGGGCAGCGCCTCGCACTTGGGCAGCTGTAGCCGCATGAGGATGAGTGGGTTGGAACGCGCGATGGTGTACTCCTGGCGGCACAGGTCACTCTCCAGCACCTCACATTCGTCACGGCACAGCTCTCGAGGCTTAGGCGCCCGGGATCGAGCATCACACAGCGGGAACACGAAGTGACAGAAGGACGGAATGGCAAACTGTGAGCACTGGTCTGACAGATGTGTTGACGTGCCGATCATGGTGAAGGCCGCTGTGGAGGCGTGAGACCTGTTAGGGGGCTAGCCTCCACCCCGCCCATTGTGCCCCCACCCTGCCTAGCAGTGCCTCCAGCCCTCCACCCTTTCTTCACCCCCACCCCAGGGCCCCAGGAGGCACGTAAGCTGCCCTAATTTGAACCAGACATAGAAGGTAGGAGGCCTCACATCAAAAGCAGAACAAAAAAGAAGAAAAACTAGGTCCAAGATATCATCCAGCTAGATGCTTCTTCTATGACAGGAAGAATCCCATTTCAGACTTAAAAATTACCTCCTCAGGCCCTGTTAAGGACTGGGGGCACTGCAAGCACAGGGCATAAGTGAAGTTTTGGGTGTGGCTTTAGAAAGAGAAGCTGGAGAAGAGGCACAGGGACCAGGCCTTGCTCTCCCAGACACTGCAAGGCCTGCAGGAGAGGTCACAGCAGCCTGGGGAGGCCTCAGCATGGTCAGAGGAGCCAGATGACAGGGAGTGGCAGAGGAAAGGAAGACAGAGAGAGTGGTAGGGTGCTGAACAGAGAACTGAATACCAACTGTACAGTGGGGAGAGACTTGTGGTAAAGGAGGCACAGAGATGTGGTCCTGGGGAGAAGCTCTGGAGGCTCCAAGCTGGGGTCCCTAGGTTTGGTTTTTAGGGGCAAGATCACAGGATGAGGTATGATGGGAATGAACCAGCCCAGAGGAAGAACTTGACACCTGACATGGAGAAATGAAGAGGGCAGGAGGGAAGGCTGTGGCAGTCGGACCCAAAGGAAGTCACCAGCAAGAAGGCCCACCCCACTTTGACTTGTGAAAGACCTGCTTCTAAGGATTTGATCTTGGATGGCTAAAGAAAGAGTGGCCCCTTCCCCTACATGCCCTGCTGAGAGGCTGGAATTTCATATCTGGGATACCTCAGCCGCATCCACTTGTAGTGCCATGTCCTTCTTGGCCAGCAGGTGGTGCTGCCGGCACCCTTTATCCCTAGGAGACCCACCAGGCACAAAGGCAGGCTCCAGGTTAGACAGCTGCATGGGAGCCCAGTTCCGCCCTGCCCAGCTATTTACTACAGGAAAGTCAGGGGAATGAAAGCCCACGTGAAGCCTGTAAAATGGCAAGTAAGAAGAATGTCCCCCAAGTGTGTGTAACAGCCGTGTTCACACACTTGCACCGAGCACCTTGTGCCCAGCACTCTGTGGTATGTGGGTCACACATCCTTTGTCCTCCAGGTCACTCCTAGCTAATATTAAAACTAAGGAACAGAGGTTGACCACAGAACCAGGTGTGAATCCAGCTGAATCTCATCCTTGTGGAGTTAGCAACCATGAGGATAGGAATACTGGCCTTGAATTCCAAGCAGGGGAAGACTACAAAAGCCATTAGTCTTTCTTCTGAGGTAATCGATTAATCCAATGTCAGAGCTGACCCTTTTAGTATTTCTCCTCCTCTCCCCCTGACATTGCAACTGAGAGCTGATTTCTGAAAGTATGATTCTAGGTGCCAAGTCCATCCATGTCCTCACTTTCACCCACACCCTGCACATCACTCTGAAGGTTTCTTGGAGTTCATTCCCTAGGAAGTTCCCAGAGTCCTGGGAAGTAGTTCTGATGAGCAGGCTGTCTGAACTGAACATTACAACAAAAGCAGTCTAAATCACAGTCAGTCTAGAACACCTTCAAATTAATTTTCAAAGCAATCCAACCATATGGGAAAATATATTTGCCAATGATACCTCAGACAAGGGTTTGATCTCCAAAATATATAAAGAACTCACACAACTCCACACCAGGGAGACAAACAACCCAATTAAAAAATGGGCAAAGGACCTGAACAGACACTTTTCCAAGGAGGACATATAGAGGGCCCAGAGACATGAAAGGATATTCAGCATCACTAGTCATCAGAGAGATGCAAATTAAAACCACAATGAGATACCACCTCACACTGGTCAGAATAGCCATCATAACCAAATCAACAAACAACAAGTGCTGGAGAGGTTGTGGGGAAAAGGGGAACCCTAGTGCACTTTTGGTGGAATTGCAAACTGGTGCAGCCACTGTGGAGAACATCATGGAATTTCCTCAGAAAACGAAAAATGGAACTGCCTTTTGACCTGGCAATTCCACTACTGGGATTATACCTAAGAACCCTGAAACACCAATCCAAAAGAACCTATGCACCCCAATGTTTATAGCAGCACAATTTACAATAGCCAAGTGCTGCAAACAGCCTAAGTGCCAACCAGTAGATGAGTGGATCAAAAACTGTGGTACATTTACACAATGGAATACTATGCAGAAGAAAGAAGGAGCTCCTACCCTTTGCGACAGCACAGATGGAACTGGAAAGCATTATGTTAAGTGAAATAAGCCAGGAGGAGAAAGGCAAATACCATATGATCTCACCTATATAGGAACCTAATGAACAAAACAAACAAATGAGCAAAATAGAGCGAAAAACATGGAAATCCAGAGCAAACTGACAGTGACTGGGGGGAGGGGGACAATGGGGGAAAGAAGGGGAAGGGTCAGGAACATGTATAGAGGACCCATGGACAGGGACAATGGTTAGGGGGGACTGAATGTGGGAGAGGGGATGGGTGGGGCAGGGGAGAGCAATGGGGGGAAATGGGGATAACTGTAATTCAACAACAATAAAAACAATTAAAAATAACATATAAAATAAAAACCAAAATCCACAAATTTAGAGAATCCTCATTCTAAACTTTTATCTAAAACTTGCTATAAAACCAGTCTGATCAGATATACAAGCTGTCCAATCCTTTACACAATTCCTGAAGAAATAACAGAGGGAAAATTGTGGGCCTTGAATTAGTGTTTGCCAACTAGTGGATTGTAAAATTAATTCTGCAGTTGTGGCTAGCATAATTGGAAAGATAATTCTAACAGAACAAAGAATGTCAGAGTGCATTGTTCACATAAAGGGTACAACCAATTTTTTAAAAAATAATATAAAACTAAAGAGAAAAATCCAAGTCTTATTAAGGGTAAATAGTGTTTCCTGTGATGCAATTCAATTCTGTGAAATACATGTAGGCATACACTAAGTCACAATGTAAAGTATTTTGTGTTGTGCCCAGAAGGTTTTATGAATGGCATGAGAAGCTCTTCCAATGAGAGATAGCAACGTTTTCCAAACATTCTCACCATTGGATCCAGATGGCACCTTCCAGGATTTGCCAGGTCCCACTACTGCCTTTCCATTTCTTACCAGATATCTGGCCCTGTCCTCAGGGGACTCTGGAACTGTACAGGCCAGACAGACCCTTCAATAATCATTACCTTAGACCCTACAGACTGAGTGTGAAAGGCAAGACCAGAGTTGACCTAAATGTATTGGGTTGGCCAAAAAGTTCATTTGTTGTTGTTTTTTTTTCCCCCATACGGTGGCTCTAGTAAGTGCTTCGTTGTCTTTAACTTCATCCAAAACACCTTTGTTAGATTAAATTGTGACAGCTGTCCTATCAGTGTGCACTTTAAAAAAAACTTATCAATATAACCAAGACACTGAAATAGAGAATAGGCTGAGAGTGACTGGAAGGGAGAGGGGAGGGAATTTCAGGGGGAAAGGGGAAGGGTTTGCAGGAAAAAGTATAAAGGACACATGGACAAAAACAAGGGTGGGGTGGAAACAGGAGGGAGGTGGGGAGGGCTGGGGGGGTTGGGATGGGGGTAAAAGGCAGAAAACTGTACTTAAACAACTAAAAAATATATATATATAAAACCAACCAACCGACCAATAAATAAATAAATAAATACATAAATAAATACATAAATAAAAACTGGCAAATTTTGGGGTAGTCATTTTAGTATTGAAGATGGAAGAAAATTTGTACAGTGTAAGGAGAAGGTGCTGTTACTGACCAAACATGTCAGAAGTGGTTTGTGATGTTTCTTGGCACTATTAACATTTTGGCCAAATAATTTTTTGCTGGGGACTGTCTTATGCATTGAAAGATATTTAGCAGCATCCCTGGCCTCTATCCATTAGAAGCCAATAGCAGGAGATAGCAACATACTGAAAATATCAAAATCAATAAAGTTATTGGTGAAAATAAAAAAATGTGTCTTTTATTTTATGGAAAAAAAAACACAGACTTTTTGGCCAACCTAACAGGACACCTCAAAGACACACACGTGAGTTTCTGCTTGGGGGTGTCATGCCTGCCCCTTACCAGGGCAAACCTCATCAGACTCTACTAGGCAACCCAGCATCAGAGGTCAACCAGTGATTCTTGTGGACAGCTGAGGTCAAAAACTACTGTGTAGAGCCCCGGCCAGTGTGGCTCAGTTGGTTGGAGCACTGTCCCATAACCAAAAGGTTATGGGTTCAATTCCCAGTCAGGGCACATGCCTGGGTACAGGTTTGATCCCTGGTCTGAGTACATATGGGAGGCAGCCAATTGATGTTTGTCTCTCACATTAATGTTTCACTCTTTCTCTTCCTCTCTTTCTAGAAGCAATGAAAAAAAAAACATCCTCAGGTGAGGATATTAAAAAAACCTACTGTGTAGCAAACCCAGTTAAACTGATATACCTGCCTTCTTCACAAGATTTTCCTGGGTGCTTATAGCATCTGGAGCAAGAAATGTGTGTGCCTTCGTGGGGAGAGAAGAGACAGGAGGAAGAGGGCTTTGCAGAGCTCATTTAATTCACGTCCTCACTTCTCAAGGGGTTCCCCCAAGAAGACCTTTACATCAATGTGTAAAAGTCAGTGTGTTGAAGGCTAACATCCAACCAGAGATGAATGAGCTGCTTCATTCCTGAAAGATTTGCTTCATCTCTCTAATGCTTCAAAGTGTCTTCTGGGAGCTGAGGGCTGGTACAGGTCTGAGTTCATGGCAGTGTCCCGTGCATGACCTGCAACCTCTCCCAAACAACTGAGATCAGGCCCATGTACCTTTAACCAGCACAACTCCAAGAGGGTGCAGAGTCACGAAAGGCAGAATAAAAAAGTCAAGTGCAGTAAGTGTCTCGGGGCTGGGGTGCCTGCACCAGGGTGGCCGGCCCTGGGATGGGAGACCCTGGTTGAGGCAGTGAGGACAAGACAACTCAGGGCTTCGTACCTGCACAGTTGGCCTCATTCAGTGTGTCAGAAGTACAGTTATTTCTAACAACCCACACTTGCTAATTTAAACATACAAATGGGAGGAACATTTTAAGGTAAAGCATAGTAGCCACTGCAACTGCTTCTAAAAAAAAGATCTCTTTCTATTGCAGGAGACATGGAGCAGCAACCCACTGTCCAAGGTAGGACCTGAAAAAACGCACAAGTGGACTGTCCGAGTGGTGAGAGGTGGCCAAACCTGTAGCTGTCTCCCGAGGAAAGCCCATGCTCCTACCTGTAATTCGGTTCTCGATCTCCCCCTGCATCTGGAGGGAGTCCACATAGATGGTCCGGTTCCCAATGAAGCGAGCGCAAGCAATTCCCCGGTAAGGCTGGCAGAACCCATCCTCATGGTCGTCATCTCTGGGGAAACACAGTCTGTAAGCTCAGTGGAGGGAGTAGAGTTCCCCAGTAAATTTTTCTTTTTAGATCTGGCATCTTATGATCTAGCTATCTTCTTCCTCAGAGGTATTTGCCCAAACGAATGGAGATCTTAAGTCCACACAAAATCCTTCAGAGATGTTTGTAGCAGTTTTACCCATAATTGCTAACACTTGGAAGCAGCCAAGATGCCCAGTGCTCAGCAAAAACGCCTCTCAAATGAAAGGGTCTATTAACCAAAAAGACATAAACATGAATGCAACTAATACCAGAGCTAATATGGGAACAAGAATTGACAGAACCAGAAGACAACTCAGACAAACCCGCAATTATAATTGGCAATTTTAATACCGGTCTCTCAGCAATGAGAACTAATAAAAAAAAGTAGTGATGAAACAGCAGTGGAAAGAGTAACTACCCCCTTGACCTAGTAGCCTTTGCAGAGCACCCCCAACAAGCAGCACACACCATGTCCATGCTCAGGGCATGCTCCTGGAGAAAGACTGTATGCTCAACACAAAGTAACTCACAGTAAGTTTAAAATAACTGAAACCATATATCTCTGATCACACAAAAGTAAATCAAAAATCAGTAACGAAAGATATTTAGAAACTCTTCAAATATTTGGAAATTAAATAGCACATTTCCAGATAACCTTTGGGTTTAAAAAAAGAAAATGCAAGGAAAATTAAACAGAAATTTTAAATAAAATGTGAAAATATAAACTACAAAAAATAAACATAAGGTAGCTGTAAATACTAGATAAGGTTTTACACCTTAAGAAGTTAGAAAAAGAATGACAAATTAAAACTGAGGTAATTAGAAGAAAACATTACTGACAAGAGCAGAAATCAATAAAATAGAAGATAACAGAAAAATCAATAAGGTAAAAAGTTGGTTCTTAAAAAAGTTAATAAATTGCTAATGCCTGGAAAAACTGATCAAGAAAAAAAGAAAATACACATCACTAATGCCAGGAAAGCACAAGGGGGCATCACCAAAGACATTAACAAATATTAAGATAATAAGAAATATTATGAACAAATATATAAACATAGATCCAACAACTTAGAAAAAAATGACAAATTCCTTGAAAAACACAAACATCAAAATCACTGCCAATACAAATAGAAACTCAGTATAGACCCAAATCTCATACATGAAGCTGTAATCACAAACCTTTCCATGATTAAAACTCTAGGTCCAAATAATGGAAACTGTTGAGTTCTGTTAGACATTTAAGCAATAAACATTAGTAATTTTACACAAACTCCTTTAGAAAATAGAGTACAGGACACCTTCTAATTTGTTTTATGAGGCAAACATAACCTTGATAAAAATACCTGACAAGAATATCCTAAAACATTACAGACCAATATGTCTCCTAATCAAACAGCAACATGCTCCACAAAACAACAGCCAACTGGGCTCAGCAAAGTAAAAAGACATTATAGAAATGGGTAATGGGCCAACTGGGTTAACCCAGGAGTCCAAAGTTACTTTAACATTTAAAAACCAACCACTGAAAACACAGAGACATAGACCCATGTTATTTTCTCAGTTGAGACTAAAGCAACATGGTGAAGACTCTGTGCTGAGGGGAGAGGGGTCTGAAAAGCACAAGTGGGACAACTAAAGAAACTGGAAGACAAATGGCAATTCAAGGACACATGCCCTACATTTGAAGGTGCAGTTCTGTAAGGAAATATCATTGAACACACACTTAAGTACTAAGCGACAAAGAAGTATAATGAATGCAACATACTCTGGGATGATGCAGAAACAATAGTAATTGCAAATATACACTGAGGAAATAATGAATCGAATATGGCAAAATGATGACAACTGGTAAACCTGGGTAAAGAGCATATGGGCTATTTATTACTATTTTTGTAACTTTTTAGTAGGTTTGGAGTTATTTCAAAATCAAAAGTTAAAAAACAGCCCAGTAGACCCTTTTGCAGAAATCGACAAACTAATTCTAGAATTTACATGCACATGCAAAGGTACTGGAATAGCCAAAATAATCATGAAGAACAAGAATGAAAGAGGATTCCTGCCACCTGCTTGTATGACTGACTATAAGGTTACAATTGTCCAGACAATGTGGAATTGGGGTATGAGAGTACATCAATAGAACATAGTAGAAAATACCAAAACAGACCCACACATATGGGCAACTGATTTTCAATACAGGCTCTAAGGCATTCAAGGAGGCCAGGACCTCTTCCCAAGAATGGTACTTGAGCCCTGACTGAGTGTCTCAGTTGACTGAAGCACCACCTCATATACCAAAAGGTTAAGGGTTCAATTCTACATCAAGGCACATATCTAGGTTGCAGGTTTGATTCCTAGTTGGGGCACATAAGGGAGGCAACTGATCAATGTTTCTCTCTCCCATTAATGTCTGTCTGAGTGTCGGTCCATCTGTCTCTCCCTTCCTGTCTCTCTAAAATCAATAAACATATCCTCAGGCAAGAACTGGAAAAAAATGGTGCTTAAATTGAATATTTGTATGGAATAAAATGAACTTCAACACATAACTCACATTGTGCAAAAAAACTGCTTTTAAGATGGATCACAGACCTAAACATAAACACTAAAATTGTAACACTTCAGGAGGAAACACAGAAGGATATCTTTACAGTACTGAGATAGACAAAGGCAAAAATTTCTTAGACATGATACATAAAAGAATGATAAATTAGACTTCTATCAAAACTAGGCTTTCCTGATCATTAAGACAGCATTAAGAAAATAAAAAAGCATGCCCTGGCTGATGTAGCTCAGTTGATTGAGTGCCAGCCTGTGAACCAAAGGGTCACTGGTTCGATTCCCAGTCAGGGCACAATGCCTGGGTTGCAGGCCAGGTCCCCAGCAGGGGGCACTCAAGAGGCAACCACACATTGATATTTCTCTCCCTTTCTTTCTCCCTCCCTTCCCTTCTCTAAAAATAAATAAATAATCTAAAAAAAGAAAAAGAAAAAGGCAAACCACAGGCTTGGAGAGAACATTTTATATATCTGACAAAGGAATTGTAATCAGAATATACAGTATTGTATTCATAATACACAAATCCCAGAGTGCAATAAGAAGACAAACAATACACTAAAACTGGACAAAAGGCCTAACAAATACTTCACAAAAATGTAGGCTGAAAAGATGGTTCCATTTTTAATGATGGCAGAAATGTACACTAAACCACTGTGCATCATCACAACACACGACACTGGAATAGCTAACATTATGTGACATAAATGGCTAACATTAAATGACTGACAACATCAAATGTTGGTAAGAGAGGTAACTGGGACTCTCAGACATTGTTGGTGGCAGTGTGAATTGGAGACACGACTTTGGCAATTTCTTGTACTTTATATATACATTTACCTATTGACTCAGCAATCCCACACCTAGAATTTATTCTACAGAAATGAAAGCATGTTCACCAAAATACCTGAACACAAATGTTCTTAACAGTTTTACTTATAATTGCTCTGAACTAGGAATCCAAATGTCTATCAATAGGTGCATAAACATATAGTAGTACCTTCATACAGCAGAATGTCATCAATAAAAAGGAATAAACCACACAAAGAATCTTTCAAATATCACGCTTTGTGAAAGAAGCCCCCTAAGTGCATATAAACAATACAAGGAATTTTTAGTTTTTGTCTGTTTCATTCGCTGCTGTGTCCTCAACACCCTGAACAGGGACTGTAGGGACTGGCCCTCAATTTAAATTTGTTGAATGAATGATTTCCTTCAAAATCAAATACCATACTTTATATTGATTTCTCTCTACTTCCACAATGAAATACTCCTAGCATCCAATTATACTGATGTTGGGTTAAATGTGGCAAAAAGTTCACCTAGTCCAACTGAATACACCCAACACCAACACTCATGTGGAAAAAACCCAGTCAGCTGAAACTTTTAGAAACATTGGCTTTTGCCGTGGCCATCTCTAAGGCTAGGATTGCATGAGGCACCAGAGGTAGAGATATACTGGTTCTGACATGACCACTCCACTGGGAAATAATGCTATTCTCCTCCACCATGCTTAGGGTGCTGGTCCCCTACTCAGTAAACTTTGGAAGACTGGTATTTCCTTGGGTGACTTTGGAGATCAGTGTATAAAAAGCTCTCACGCACGAATAGGGCATAATAGTTAATACATGGGCTCAGGTGAATGCAAAAAGCTAAGCGGGGCATTAAATGTGTCACTACATGTCCAATGTCAACATCATTATTGCTGAAGGACAAGCATTTCCATTTGTGTCACTATGTAGTCTAAATTAAGGAGACTGTGCATTCTCTGTTTACTCTACAATGCTTGCCTACTTAGTCACTTATCGCCTGTATCACATAACCTTACAATGATTAAGCTTCTATCTTTTATTCAGGTTCTGTATTATGGTATTTAAAAAAAGTTGTTACATTTTCCAGAAAGTAAAATTTACCATAATAAGAAATCATAGAGAAAAAAATTAGGTCTTCTTCTCACCTCCTTCCAACTCAATTTGATGAAGTTGGTGGCTTAAGGGCTTTAACATCAAGTTAGTTTACTTACCAATAGTAAGGCAGCCTGGTTTCTTCTGAGTCATTTTTATTTACTGGTTTGTCAGTTGGCAGTTTCAGGTTTTTGTTTTTTTAATAGCACTGTTTTCCTGTAATTAGGATAAAGTTTGAACTAGATTTATGACAAACTCCCCCAAAACAGCCATGGAAGGAGTGTGAAGTAGAAGCTGGTTAAGTTCTGTTTAGACATGCAAAGTCTTTGAGTCATCCGCCTAGAGACACCATTCTGTGGCTGCATTTGGGGGCCTGGAGGTGATATACATCAGACCTAGAAATGGGATTCTAGGTCATGACCACTGGGGGGGAGAATGGCTGAAGCCTTGGAATTACTACCATCTGTGAAGTAAAAAAATAAGAGGGCTCAGGACCCAGGCCCAAGGAAGGTGATTTCCCAGAAGCCA